TGAGTTGTAATGATGAAAAGACATCGGTACATTCCTCCTGCCAGCTTCAATTTTTGCCAGACTATCTAAGCTCAGACACAATCTCCGTCGGAGAGACAAACTCCGCTCAGCAGATCCGCTGGAGTTGCTTGTGGAGCCAGAACCTGCTCAGGTCATTTGCTATGGCTTCATCAGAACATGAAAAGATGCAGGAAAGTGGATTCAAATGCATTTGGGTTTTCTAATTACTGTGTAAATTTGCAACCATGCATCCATGCATATGGTGAGATTTCTGCAGCTCTGCTAGTCATCTAGACCTCCTTATTGGACAACATCTAACATTGCTAAAGGAATTCATCGACTGCGCTGAGTCTGTTGCCCAACTGACATTTTGCAATATTTTATTAATCATATTGACAGCGTGTCAGCCTTTGAGTGAAGAGAAGATACAGATGGCCCCTGTGAGAGATGACGATGAATTGCTTTGGATATCTGGATATCTTTTAAAGTTCAAACTGCAATAACGAACTCCCTTAAAGGGACATTTCAGTCATTCTGAGGTGAGCTTTTACCCATTTTACACAAAGCAGCTTCAGTACAGAGAAATAAAAGCCTACCTTCCACGTGACTGATAAGCTAACAGCTAGTCAGAACTAGCTAATGCATTGCTGCAGTATTAAATATAGCAGTTGGTGCCATTTTAAATGTCACATTTCATGGCTCTTCTATAGATTTATTATATACATTTCAGAAGAAAGAAACTGAAGAAGCTAACTTCTTCAAACTTGATTAGCACAACATGAAAGCAGTTCACAACAGTTCAGTCAGAACTTGTTTAGGTTTCAGAATTTTTTTTGGGGGGGGCATCTACAACAGCCATTTCACATATGTGCTAACATTAATTTCTAAACTTGTAAATCATCACCAAATCTATATCATGTGGTAACTTTTGGAAGAAACATCAGGATATTCCTGCTGGACATCATAGTTTCTATGGAAGTGCAACATTTTGCTGATGATGGCGAACTGCTGTAGAATTTTGGAGGTTGGACCCTTTTTAAGCACAGATACTCTTTGGTTGTGCATGCATCATAAACTGCTAAATAAACCTTTTGATGAGATGAAAATGAATGCAACGTGCAAATATTTGACTGAGGCGAGAAATACATGTAATTCAAAGGTTAAACCAAACCCACACCTCCTCATGTTGAAGTCGAAGACAGAGAGAGAAGCATTGTGTAGGGATGCAGTGATGTTTACAGTAAATCCCAGAGGACAGGCGCAGTGTTTTCTGTTTGAGAGATCTCAGTCCTCCTAAAAGGAGGACATCTGTGCCAGGCTTTCAGTCCTCCACTGGCCAATCTAACTCCCACTAGGAGTTGGCATTGTCTGCCTTAGCCCAACTAAAGCCAACCCTGCTCATCATTAGGAAGCAAAGGCACGGGGCAGTTCGAGAAGTCCGTCCTGCCAAGCCCCAGCGCCAGACATGACGGGGCATTAGAAAGCCAGCGAATGACCGCGGAGGCCAATAAAGCAGCTACTTTGCACTCAAGTCTTGTGTGTTTTCCTTCCCACGCCGTGGAGCTGTGATTACACATGTAAATATTTGGTGGTGCGCAAGCTCAAAGAACAGAAGTCCTTCTGTCCGTCTGCGGTGCAAATGAAATGTCGGGCTCGTGACGTTGGCAGATCGCTTTGCCTGGGAAGGAAGACCGAAAAAGACCTAACTTTTCTTTGTGAGTGAGGACAGCGTCCTCTTTGTTCAGGCCTTCAAGATAATTATCTGAGTGTTGATTCAGACAGCGAGTACCATGAGAAGTAGTGTACTGCTGCCTCGGACCTTGGGAGAAGCGTTCCATCACCCGCCCCATGCCCCACGCTTCACATTTATAAAGGCTTCCCAAGCGCTCCGTCGAGACCGTTCGGCATCAACGTTAGACACAAATAACAGCCCACACCTGAATGCCAGCCTCACTGAACCACAATTCTTCTGTTCCAACGGACGTTTTTTCACCCAGAGCTGCATCCGGCTCAGTCACACACCCAGCAGACCTCCATCGGCTTGTCGAGAAACGGCACCAGCAGAAGCCTGACACATCCAGCAGGCAGATATCAAGTCATGATAGCAATGTTCACTAATTTAGAGCGAGATTGAATCCCCCCCACTCCCCTATCTCTACCCCCCACCCTCAAACACCCATCCCTCACGCTGTCAAATAAAGGCCTCTAAGTCTAGACTGATGGTATATTTGAAAAAATGCTTCATTTGCTTGTAATGAATTCCAATTTTCTTTCACAAAGGCTCAGTCTGCTTCACAGCAGAGTCTGTAGGATGACACCAGCCTTCTGATCGCCCCGTTCAACCTCGGCCATTCCACAGGAGAGCACACTTTCAAATGTCACCCAAACAGACGTGACCCAGAAACCTGCGAAGCCATGGCGGCTACGAAGTTTATCAGACAGATGGCGCCAAGGAAGGTAGTGCTCAAAAATCTGTATCCAGTCACCTAAATTGTTGTGTTGACATTTAACTTGAAATATTCCAATTCAAGAAAAATTATGAAAAAGGTGATTAAAAAAGTTAAAATGTTGAGAAATAAAGTCAAAATATTAGCTTAATAGCTGAAATGTTTGAGATTAAGGTGAAAATGTTCAGGTTAAAGTTGAAATTCCCAAACAAAATGTTGAGATTTAATTTGAAATGAAGTTTAAATGTCAAAAAATCTGGATTAAGATTGAAATGTTGAGGTTAAAGGTAAAATGATGAAAGTAAAAGGCAAAATGTTAAGATTAAGATGATAAAATTTAAGATTTGACATCAATTTAAAGTAAAGTTGATCCTAAAGATCAAGTATTGGGATTACAAGTGAAATTTTGAGGAAAAAAATGTAGAAATTTCAAGATTAAATACTAATTGTTGGGATTTAAAATGAAGGTGGACTCCAAGAACTTCCTTTAACCCTTCACAATAAAAGTCTCAATATGATTTCAGTTGGTTTGTTTGTTGAAATTCCTTTTTCATCTCAAAATAATATATTTATTCTTGTTTCTCTACTTTATTCTTGAAACAGAATAACTTTCAGCTTTTTTCAATAAACATTTTACTTGAAAAATAATCTTTCCCATTTTTTTCAGCCTAATTACAGATTTTAGACTTCAAATTTATTTTTTAAACATTTGCACTTTCATATTCCTTATTCAGTTTCAAGTTAACTTGTTTATTTAAACTTTCTTATTACATTTTGGAATTTATTCATTCAACATTTAAAGTTTTCCCCACATTTTACTAATAAATTCAACATTTTGACTTGAATCTCCACAGCTGAACACAAAAAGGAAAAAAAAAACTAAATGTTCTTTTTTTCCTCAACGTGGAAACAAGAACTTTTCCACAAATGCCTGAAACTAAAGAAGAAAGTATAATAAATCAGATAAACTGAGAAAAACAATCCCATTGTCCTGATTTGTTTTTGCCTACAATAGCTGTCAAATGCCTCTCTGTACTGTAGGAAATGAAATGTTGAATTTACTTAACCAACATATTGGTTAACTTAATGCAACATATAATTTTTACAGTGTATATCTCATTTATTGGGAACTTTATGAAGCTTTCTTATCTTCTGAATACTAGTTGGTAAATTTGAAAACTGTTTTCCTAACTTCCTGTGACGTCTGACACATTTCAGCATCAGTTGCAGAAGGGCAATTCATCCTAAATGCACCAAGGGTTTTATCAAAAACAACAAAACAGGAGATGTGTAATTTACTTATGTCTAAGTAATCTTCAGAATTACAAAAGTACCCTAAAAAACTTGAGTTTTTTTTGTTGCAAACTATCAAATGTCTTTGAATTGACGTAACACAAAATTCTTAATTTCACCTGCAAAAAAACAATAAAAATAAACTTTAAATAAAAATCTGTCAAGTGAAGCTAACATACTTATTGGTTATGGTGTCGATTTGAATTAAAGCTTCAGTAAAAGTGATTTACATCCATGATAATCCCACACTTAAATTGATTTTGGGGTAAATTAGGATTAGTCTACATGCCCCATCAGCCAACACCAACTCAGAATCCAGAAAATAAATCAAACACCTCAAAATGTGTTTTCTCTCTCTCTCTCACACACACACACACACCCTGATGGAGCTGACTGGCAGGAACGCTACAGACATTTGTCTTGCTGCAGAATCTCTAATCTTCTTCCAACCTTCACGTCTGTAAATATGAAGCAGAGTTTTTTTTCTAAAACTGAAATAAAAAGGAGTTGACAAAGCGATCCATCCCACAAACAGCCTCGCACCCACAGGAGTTCCCACGAGGCATAGCTGGGATTCTCGCGCTCAATTTGCATCACAAATATCTTGGATGAGAGCATGGGGAATACATTCTTCTTTTTCTATTCCCTACATTCATCTGCACCCATCTATCCATCCATTCAAGCCATTAGAGCCACTTTAGAGCCAACAGGAGAAAGAAGTGAGCCCAAAACTCTTTTCTCGTTCACCTCTGATTTCACTTCATCTCCTTTTCCCGTTATTGCTTGCTTACTTCTATCAAATAAAAGTCCAGATTTTAGCAGGAGAAACTCTATTAAAACATAATATTGGGTTGCACAATGATCATTAAAGAGAATTCAGTTTAGGGGCCAACTCCGCAGGGGGTCCTGACTCCCTGCGCTCCTCAGCTTCTCCTACATCTAAATTATTCACAGAGAAGCTGCGTGAGCGCTGTTACATCCACGCAAACAGCCGGGAAACAGTGGATTTAGAATTCAGATTGTAGCATGTATAACCATCGGGGTGAAGGCTGGAGTTTTACACAAAAGGGGTGAAATCAGAAGAATTTGGAGACGGTTTTACGCACACGCGTTTGGCGGCAGGTGTGACGATCAGAGAGGATAATCCAAACCTGTAAGCAATTGGTCAACTTCTCTCTTTTAAGTTTGCATCTCGATCCCTCCGCGGACAGGTGGATCCACCTGAATCCTCTCTGAAGGGGACAAAACTCGCGCACTCACCTGACTGCGCTGCGCTCCACCGGATCACCGCCAAAGTCACGAGGACGCACGCTGGGAACGTCATCTTCTTGTCAAATAAAAATAAAATAAAAATGTTTGAAAAAATAATAAAGCCTTTTCTGTCTGGTTAACTCCGATAACTCACATGTCCAGTTATGATATCCCGGTGGCTCGCGCGCACACTCACGCAGAGAAGCCAAAATTTAAAAAAAGCAAAAGATTTGTTATAAAAAGAATAAAATGGTTAGAATCTTCCAGTTCTTGACGCCAGTTTCAGAGGGTTAACGGCGCTCTTTATCCTTGTTTGTGTTTGTTTACCGGCTCCCGGTCCCGTGTTTAGGTCGGTTTCCACACCGCGGACACTGATCCATTTACTTCTCACTCTGCCATCGCGCCGGTGGCTGGAGGGGGAGGGAGGGAGGACGAGCGCGTGTTTGTGTGTGTGTGTGTGTGTGTGTGCTCCGAACACGCCTTCCCTTGGTGATAGGCATCCTCCTCAGCCAATGAAATCTTAGAATAAAAGAAAGTCATTTGTACAGTTGTAGCTGCGCCTGCAGCTGATAGGTTTCACCACACCTGTCACTTTTAGAGGCTTTGATTGTAATAAAAACAACACAGCAGATACACTTTGTGACATGTTGCTTTTAACAGAAGAATGAAGCCACATTTAGCATTAAAACAGATACATTTGGCACATGAGGCATTTTAGCAGCTACATTAGGTCATATTTAGCTGTTTAAGTCTCCATTTTTCAAATGATCCCTTCCATTTTCCCTACTTTTGTAACAGTTATTTTATCCATATTTAATTTGTCTTAGTAAAAGTTTGAATTATTCCCCATGTTCTGATTGCTGTCATTTCATCACATTTTATTATATTTAATCATATTCTTTAATCGTTTATTTTACGTCATGCACCTAAGCTGTTATATGCTTCTGTATCCTTGTATTTATCATGTTAACATCTACATATAACATGTATCTTCCACATCCCTGCATGTTACCAACAGCAGTTTTGCCATATTTAATAATATAACAGCTTTATTTGTTCGTATTTAAAATGGTAATGGCTAAACTTGACCATATTTAGATTTTTATTAGCAACATTTTTCGCTATTTAGAGTTGTAGCATCAACAGTTTGCATTTTAGCAATAATTTTAGCCGTGTTGAACGTTTCACAACTGCTACATTTTAGTGCATGTAACAATTTAAGACATATTTTCAAATAAAATAGGAGTTTTGTATTTTAAAGTTACTTTTCAGCATTTTTATTCAGGAATGTCAGATCAAACTGTTTAGATGTGGAAAAAAATTGATGCAAATCTGTATTTTTAGTATCAAATCTAAATATGCAATGCTCCTACTTGTTCACACCTTTCTGTCAAAGGGACTACAAACAGATGCATAGGCTGTCTCTTCAACATGCTTTTGTTTTGGTAAGTAACTTCCTTTTATGGCAGTCTGAACGTGCTAGTTGGCTACATTGTTTGTTTAAAAGGCAAACTATTTATTTAGATATATTTTTAACTTTTGAAAATATTTAGACATTGAAATGTTTAGCTTTAATCGTGTCTAATTAGAATATAATCTAAATATTTAGATTAAACCAAATATTTTAAATTTTTAATCTGAATATTTAGTCATTTTTAATGTTTTTCTTTTCAACTGTTGTCGTCCTGGCCGTGGAACACTGGACCAGATCTATACCCTTAGGGGGGTTCTGGAGGGTGCGTGGGAGTTCACCCAACCAATACAATCGGCGGCCCTTTGGGGGGTACTTCGGGAGTATGGGGTACTAGACCCTCTGATCCAGGCTGTTAGGTCCCTGTATGACAGGTGTCAGAGCTCGGTCTGCATTGCCGGCTGTAAGTCGAGCTCGTTTCTGGTGAGAGTTAGGTTCAGCCAAGGTGTGGAGGGCATCCGTTTTGGTGGCCTGAGGATCGGGTCTCTGCTTTTTGCAGATGATGTGGTCCTGTTGGCCTCATCAGAACGTGATCTTCAGCTTTCGCTGGAGCGGTTCACAGCCGAGTGTGAAGCAGCTGGAATAAGAATCAGCTCCTCTAAACCATGGTCTTGAACCGGGAAAGGGTAGAATGTCTTCTCCAGGTTAGAAATGAGGTCCTGCCATAAGTGGAGTAGTTTAAGCATCTTGGGGTTCAAGAGTGAAGGAAAGATGGAGAGTGAGGTCGACAGGCGGATTGGTGCTGCGTCTGCAGTGATGCGGGCGTTGTACCGATCTGTCGTGGTGAAGAGAGAGCAGAGTCAGAAGGCGAACATCACGATTTACAGGTTGATCTCCGTTCCTACCCTTAGCTATGGTCAGTGACCAAAAGAACAAGATCATGGATACAAGCAACCTAAATGAGTTTTCTCTACAGGATAGCTGGGCTCTCCATTAGGGTGAGAAGCTTGGTCATCCGGGAGGGGCTCTGAGTAGACCCACCGCTCCTCCACATCGAGAGGAGCCAGTTGAGGTGGCTTGGGCATCTGGTCGTGGTGCCTCCTGGACGCTTCCTTGGTGAGGTTTTCCAGGCGTGTCCAACTAGGAGAAAACCTAAAGGAAGACCCAGGACATGCTGGAGGGACTTTTTCTCACAGATGGCAAGGGAACGCCTTAGGATTCCCCCAGAGGAGCTGGCTCAAGTGGCTGGGGAGAGGCAAGTCTGGGCCTCCCTACTTAGGCTGCTGTCCCCTGCAAACCAACACTGTATAAGCAGCTGAAAATAGATGGATGGATGGATGGATGGATGGATGGATGGATGGATGGATGGATGGATGGATGGATTTTCCAACTGGTGCCCCACAAACCTGTCAGGTGTGATGTTTGTCTCTTGAGTGATGACACTTCTACGACTCTCTCTCCAACAACCTTTTTGTCTTTCATTTATTTCAGTCGGTTCTCCTTCCAAATAGAATATAAAATAGTGATTTGGGGACTTTTTAATAATTTGGTAGACCTGAGATATTTTAAAGGACCTGCACATCCCCAACGCATCCAGCGTATGAACCTCGATGGTTTAGTCTAAAAAGAGCTGCAGTGAAGATTAAAGGTGACAGGACTTCTGCTTTACATGCCCATCCTGTTCTCTGGTTTCATTAGTGTACTTGTGTAAAAGTGAATGAAACAAGGATTTTAAAAAAAAAGTATTGATCTGTGGTCCAGGTAGGGTGAAAACATGCCTGGTTGCATTACTGAAGGACTCCTGGGCAAAGGATGGACTGAGTCAGTACAGAGGCAGGAGTTATTTAGTGTCCTCTGCTGCCCTCTAGTGAATTTTGAAGAAGGTTTGTATTTGGTTTTGCTTCAAACCTGCAAAGCAGTCTTCATTTTTTCTACAAAAGAAAACATTGTTGGTCGGTTTCATAAATATTAACATGCAAACACAACTGTCTCTGAAAACCAGGCATATGAATCATGGGACGAGCATGCAAGGCCTCTCAGGTCCGGCACCGGAATGATTCTCTACAGGTAAAACATTCAATCTGAGATGTTTTCTAGCAAGTTTAAACCAATAAGGATGCTGTAAATGTAAATCTCTGCCTTTTGTGCTTCGTCTGTCTGTGAGTGCACCAAAGGGCTTTGGGAACAATGACTCACAGCGAAGAGTTATCACGTTGCTGCTAGTTGTCCATTACACCAGGGTGCCACAAAGAGGGGGCCCGCGGGCCGCCTATTGAGGACCACTGCTCTAGAGAGAAAAGCAGCATGTGGTCCTCATGTTATGATTTACAAAGCAACAATAAGCAGCAAACCTCACCACTCATGATCAGTCCCTGGTAAAACATGAAGACGGACATGAAAGCAATTGCAGGAGTATTTGCTGTATCTGTGTAATAATGGTTGCTTTTACTTACATTTATTCAGGTCTTTACTGATGTTCTCATGATATTGTTAAAGATCAAGTTCAGTGAGCAACCATTTTGTACCTGTTATTTTTTAAATATGATCGTTCACTCTAAGTTTCACATGCAGGCTGAAGCGTGAAAATAGTCTTCAACCGTTATTACCTGCATTAGATGCAGATAACAAATAGACAGGAATATAACCGGGTCAGAAAGAGCTACAGATCTTCGTGTCACGTTGAGAGCAGGAGGTTTGGACACAAAATGCAGAAATCCAGAACACACAGGCAGGAGCGGATTGAAAAAAGTAAAATCCTTTATTTAGGAAGATAAACAAAAAATCCAAAGGGGTGGAGGCCAAAACCTAATAACTAAACTCAGGCAAAAAAACAAAACAAAACAAAAACTCACTTAATGAGCAGAGACCTAGAGACGAGTAGGGAGGGACAAAACAACGCTGACAACACAACAGAGGCGTAGACAGGGTTAAATACACTGGGGAAGGATGAAAGGGAGATGAGCTGCAGGTGTGTGAAGAGAGGAACCTAGTGAAAACAATAAACTAATCAGTGAGGGGAGAGTAACTTGACCTAAGAGTAAAAACAAAACCTGAAGACAAGAAGGTAAAGATAAACAACTAATGATCTGAGGAGAACTAGAATACCAGTGGAGTAAGAAACACACTAAAGGAGACTAATGAATGAAAAGCTGAATCTGTAGGAAAAACTACAGAAAGAAAAACTACAGAGGTGTGACTAAAGGAGACCACGGGAGCAACATACCTGGGGGGATACCTGGGAAGGGGGAAAAGAGGGGCTGCAGATCAGGGAACACATGAGGAAGATGCAGACAAAGACACATGAGAACGCTAGAAGACACATAAGGAGAACCTAGAGAGGGATGGAGAACACAAGGAGACACATGAGGGAGACGCAGACGCAGACCATGATGCTTCGTCACACTGAAAATTTGCATACATGGACTCAGGGCGGGTTCTACCCAATTTGGTGCCCCAGGCGAGATTACTCCTCAATAAAATAATGGCTTTTAACTCATTCACTGCCATTGACGACTAAAGTCATCATTTGCATTTTTTTTTACTGTGTGGGCGTCGGAACGAGCCCCCGCACCGTGAGAACAAACATCTCAGCTCTGAAGCCGATCTTCATCCGCATACGTCACACGTCACATGATCAGGAAGCAGAACATCCATGTGTTAGGAGATCGTTTTGGGCCGTTCCTGTAAAAAAAGTGAGGCGCGAACCGGAAAAGCTTCTGCCGATCACAATTCAACAACGGATTATGAAAGAACGGATAACGCTCGATGCAGGCGGATTCTTCCTGATGTAAGAGGTGAGTCTCGTCTTTGCTTTGGTTGTTTTGGCATCTACATCACCCTAACATGCAACACTCTGTGACTCTTAAAAAACAGTAATGTAGCGACATGAATGGCCTCATTTGTGACCCAAAGGTCACACTTCCCCAGCTAGGTCACGCTGTCCTGGCTGAACTTCTATCCACAGATTATCCATCACAGGGGACATAAAGTCTGCTAAAC